GGTGTTAACTTGTGGCCAAACATTGCATTCGTACCCAAGGTGTCATCTCATTCTCATTGTAACCAGCCATTGAAGTTGGCATGTTTTCAGCCTACACCAGGAGGAACTGGTGATAGGTCTGGGTTATTGTGCCCAGTGAGGGCAATGGAGGCACACATCATGACTATTGCCGCTGTAAGACGTTTAAACCAACTGTTCTTGTGTTATGGAGGCCCTAGGCTAGGTTGTCCTCTTTCCAAGCAACGTCTCTCCCACTGGATTGTGGATGTCATCTGCCATGACTACACTACAGGACACGGCTCACCACTGGTTGGCATGAGGGCACACTCTACCAGGAGTGTCTCTACTTCCTGGGCATACTTAAGAGGGGTTCCGTTGCAAGCGATATGTGCTGATGCATCATGGGCTTCCCCAAACACGTTCACCAGGTTCTACAATGTCAATGCGGCCACCCCTCATCCTCTAGGCCAGGTTCTTCTGCAAGGGTCCTCTGGGCCTCCTCAGTGAGGTATGTGCTCAGGATTCCTCATGACATTGCTGGTATTAGTCATTCGGTGCTTTCAGCACCACCCTCTAGCAGTAAGTAGGGATGAAATAGAACAAAAGTTACATATTTAACTATGGTTCTATGAATTTCGGATGACCGCCAGAGCTTCTGTCACTCAGAAGCCTCACATTCAGCGAGAAGATTCTGTAGGAGCAGGGCCGTGGATGATGCCAGGCTATATACCCTCTGGCTAATCATCTGACGTGTCACAGCTGTGACTTTTTTGGCATTACTACTCTAACGATGCATGCACGCAGGGAATATTCAGTGCTTTCAGCACCACCCTCTGGGATTCATAAAAACATAGTTACATATGTAATATTTGTTTTCTCTTAATTGTGGCATTTTATTACGTTACCTCAGTAACTAGAAGGTCATGGATGTAGTCGAGAGCGCAGATGACTCCCGTCCTCCCACAGCCGGCACTGAGACACACACACAAGATGCAGCATGCATGTTAACTGTGCCATCGTTATCAGGTGTTACCTGCTGCATATTCACAGCCTCCTGCTCTGTGTGTGTGTGTGTGTGTGTGTGTGTGTGTGTGTGTGCGTGCGTGCGTGTGTGTGTGTGTGTGTGAGTGAGAGAGAGAGAGAGAGATCTGTCCTGTTGAATCTTAATGACCAGCTGACCTGTGATCAGTGCTGCTGGTACAAACAAGCTGCAGTGATGATGAGTCGAGTTAACCACCGTTCACAAGCCTGTGTGTGTGTGTGTGTGTGTGTGTGTGTGTGTGTGTGTGTGTGTGT